GTGCGTGCGTGCGTGCGTGCGTGCGTGCGTGTGTGTGTGTGTGTGTGTGTGTGTGTGTGTGTGTGTGTGTTGTGTGTGTGTGATTCTGAAGTGGGAGAGGTCTTGGATGTTTTGTTGGTGGTTATTTATTTATGTTTGTTTAATTTTTTATTTTTTATTTATGGTTTTTTGAAATAGTGTTTCTCCGTGTAGTTTTGAAGACTGTCCTGGCACACACTCTGTAGACCAGGCTGGCCTCAAACTCACAGAGATCCTCCTGTCTCTGCTTCCAGAGTGCTGGGATTTAAAATGGCATGCACTACCACGGCCAAGCTGTTGCTTTTTTTGTTTTGTTTTGTTTTTTGAGACAGGGAGCTTTGGAGGCTGTCCTGGAACTAGCTCTTGTAGACCAGGCTGGAACTCACAGAGATCAGCCTGCCTCTGCCTCCCAAGGGCTGGAATTAAAGGCGTGTGTCACCACCACTGGCCGGGCTGTTGCTTTTTAAGGGTTGGATATTGAAAACTATAATCCAAGCTGGCCTTAAACTGGGTGTGTAATGGATGCAGGCCTTCGAAGACCTTCTCAGTCTCCTTCCTGGTTTGGATTCCTAGTACTGGGATTAACAGGCATGTGCCCAGCATTTCTGAAAGGCAAAGTCAAACCATGTGCGGTAGAGACCACTTGTGTGTGATACCTGCACTTAGAAGTTGAAGCAAGAGGGTCAGGAGTTGCAAGCTAGCCTGCATCGGACAGAGAAACCCTGTTTCATGGTAGGGGGAAGAGACTGACAGTGAACCACGGAGCTAAAACGGGAAATGAAGCCTGGCAGGCACATTATAACTTACCCAAGGCCTCTGTCTTTACAGATACCCCAGCCCAGAGCAAAGGGGGTTCCAGCAGCCCGGAGTCCTGTTCCCGGCCCTCTTGCAATCCTCCGGAAGCCAAAGAGCGTGAGTCCCCATCCCCTGCAGCCATGCAGCCTGTCCAGCTGCCCAGCCTGGCCTTGACTCCACCCTTCCCTGCCCCTCCACCGCCCCCCACGCCGCT